GGCTTCTCCCCTGCCACCAGTCGGGACTGGAATCTTCCGGGCACCTGCAGAGAACCATTGATGTCCATCTGATCTATGGCCGAGCCTGACTTCTGGGTTGACTTTGACTTTGGGTCTGCTTTTCCCGTGCTTGGTCTGACTCTTGATTTTCCAAAAGTCAACTAGGTCATGTGGGGCATGTAGCTGCTGTTTTCGACTCAGGGCTGGGTGACCCTAGGCCCTTTCCCAGGCATTTCTCAGACTTGGGGTGTGACTTTTGGCCCCTGTTTCAGCCTTTCGATCAAAGGCCACGGCAATGTGGATCTGAACTGAGTTTTTTATCATTCCAGCCGTCCCGATTTCCAGTTCCACCACAGAAATCACGAATTGTTTTCTCTCAGCCCACATTCAAATCCAGCGACTATATCAGGTGCAATTGGTAGAAGTTCTCTTTTGCTGAACCATCTTCCTTCTGGCTCTGGTTGATTAATGAACTTTACCTTATACTGCGTCTGTTGTCTTCCTCTTTTAACGGTAGAGAAGAAGCCATGATCAGGGTTCTTTTCAGCTTGATACCTGCCACCCATTGAAGGTGGAAACATCGATGGTCTGTTGGGAAAATCTTGGCCTTCAATTTAGGGTAGCAGTTCAGATGGGTGGAAACGGGATAAGTCTTGAGATTAGGGGGAACATCCATCCTATAGGATGGTCCATCTGCATCCCCTATAACTTTAAGAACTTCCCATGGCCCGTAGTAGACAGATAGCAGTTTTTGTGAAATTCCTTCTTCGAGTGTGAATGCATTGGACTTAACCCACACCAGATCTTGTTCTTTGATTTCAGCTGGTCTACGATGTTTGTTAGCTTGCTCAATCAGCTGGCATTGTGCTTTTCTAATGTTCTTTATCCCTTTCAATATATTGTTCATACAAAACTAGAAATTCACAGATACCGGGAGGCAGCCTTTGGATCTGGTCCCTCGTCAAAGAGTCAATAGGTCTCATAGGTTGCCAGCCTTTATCCAGTGCATTCGGTGTCCGACTAGTGACGGTATGGACACTATTGTTATAAGCACTTGTTATCTTTGGCAAGTTCTCATCCCAATCCACTTGGTCAAGTTTGACATACATGCGCAAAAGTTGTTGACACAAGCGGTTCATCTTTTCAGTCTGTCCATTTGTTTCAGGATGTCTACCTAACGACATGGCCAACCTGGGACCTTGCAATTCCATCAACCTTTGCCACCGCTGTCTAGTGAATCAATCAGATACGATTGTCTTAGGAAATCCATACTCATAAACCCCTCGCATCTGAAATTTTTGAATCACTAGGTTGGTTTTAGCTCCAATTAGTACATCTTCTCTCTCTCCTTGTCACTCAAAGTGTTCCCGACCATTAGCATAACTCTTCTGGAAGCCAAAGCGACCTTCTGTGCGTGATGTTCGCCCATMATCAAGCTTTTCACTGCTTCATGGTAGGGAGTAGAGATTATGTGTTCACCTTTATCTAACAAGAAGAGAATGATATCAACCATCTTATAATCTCGAAAAAGTTCAGGGTTTGTTTTCAGAGATAGGATTATAGACTGTCAAATTTTGTCTTTATAGGATTATAGGCTGTCAAATTTTGTCTTTAGTATACGCGTCTCTGATTTGTCTTTCAATTCGCTTCCTATACCTAGATAAGTAACAATATTTATGAAGGAATCAGATCGTCTAGAGAGAGCGCCAACTACCACATTAGACTTACCTTTGATAGTTTTTAACTCACAGTCAAAGGTATTTATAATAGCATATCATCGAGCTAGCTTGTCCGATAGTCGTGGTTGCGTCTTGAGCCGCTTAAGTGTCTCATGGTCTGAGTTGATGAAGTGCCTGCCCAGTAGGTAGTGCTTTCATGTCATTAGCACCTGCAACAAAGCAAACAACTCTCTCTTATAGGTGGACTTAGCCACTTTCTTAGAGCGTAGGCGGCAAGACAAACTCGATACTTATATACCCCTTCTCATTATCTAGTTGCAAAATCGCCCCTATCCCATACTGACTTGCATTCGTCGTAATGAAGAATAGGAGTGAGGGGCCTGTGATTTTTAGCACAGGGTAGTGAGTCAAAGCATACCCTAGCTTCTTGAATGACAACTCACAATCTTTATCCCAAAACCAGATGGTTCCTTTCCTTAGTAGCCTCCTCATAGGATTTGCTATGCTAGAGAAGTTCYTTACAATAGTAGCTAGCCAATCCTAGGAAGTAGCGCAATTTTGTTACGTTCCTCTATTTAGGCTAATCCCTGATCGCAACAATTTTCTTTTCTTCTAGCCTTTGTCYATCCTCRTKCACGAGATCCAATGTACATAACTYCGGACTTRTCAAATTCAAATTTCTTTGGATTCCTATTGAAGTTTCCTTYACGCAACTTCTACAAGACCATTCGTAGGTGTTTCTCGTGGTCTTCTGGCATTTTGTTGTAGACCATGATATCATCGAGATAGACAACCACGAATTGGTCGAGTCATTCACGAAAGAGTTCATTCATTGACCATTGAAAAGTTGAGGGGGGGATAGTGAGACCAAAGGGCATGACCACAAATTTGTAGTGAGCATACCTAATTCAGAATGTGGTCTTGTGTTGATCTTCAGGGGCCACCTCAATCTTGTGGTAGCCTAACTTCAAATCAATCTTACTGAAGTAGTTGCAACTCTGCTATTGGTCAAGCAAGTCGTCAATCTAAGGTAAGGATTCCACATTCTTCACAGTAGCCGAGTTCAATCCTCAGTACTTAATGCATAGTCTGAGTTCACCTTCGTTTTTGGGCACAAAGAGTACATGTGCATTGCAAGGAGAGGAGCCCAACCTAATCCATCCGTTTTGTGTAAATTCCTACAGTTATTTCTTTAGTTGGAAGTGAGAGAGAGAGGAGCTCAGCCATATCCATCCCTTCTGTGTAAGTTCCTGCAGTTAGTTCCTTAGTTAGTTCCTGCAATTATTTCTTTAGTTGGAGAGAGAGAGAGAGAGAGAGAGAGAGAGAGAGAGTAAAAAAAAAGAGAGAAGCCATAGTTGAGGAAGAGGAAGGAGGCACGAAGAAGAAGAGGGAACAGCCAGGGTGAAGAAAGAGCAAGGCGAGGTAGGAGAAAGAAAGGAGGAAGAGGAAGAAGGGTGGTGAGGAAGAAGAAGGTGGC